CCTCCATGGGATGGCGTATAAGAAGAAAACCTTGCGCGCTCTTCATCACAAAACAGTAAGATTAAACTTTTATAATAAAACGACCAGATGAATATTGGGAGAACACTCCTTGGTCAGATATGACCAAGAATAATTTGCTTGGCTTGGACTGCATCCAGCATATTTGGCATGAACCTGACCAGGATTGCTACATAAATGCATAGACCTGACAGAGAAGCACTGAGGTGTGAATGTGATGATATGGGGCTGCATGAAGGCAAAACATGTTGGGGAGACGACATTTATAGATGCATCAATGTTTGTGGATATAGCAAAACACTGGCTGAAAAACAGCGTGAATCCCAGTCTGCAGACGCTGCACAGAAGAGGAATATTCCAGCATGACAAGGCAAACTAAAGCAACCTCACCTAAGCATTCCTAAAGAAGAAAGAAAGAAAAAACTTTGACGTGGTTAGATATGTTGCCTGACTTGAATACAACAGGGCACATTTGAGGTATTTCACTTGTAAAAAGCAAGGTGGGGCAACACAATCCTTTCAGCAGAGAAGAGCTTAACAGATAGAACAGCAGAACATCTCTTGAATAAACACATGTAACCTTTGTGTGGAGAAGGATTGAATCCAACCATTCATTATCTATACAACGCTCACAAGGGTCGTGGGGCAGGTTCACCTGGACAGGTAACCAGTCTATCACAGGGCTACACTTACAGACAGACAACCAAGCACACTCACACCTACGGACAATTTAGAATCACCAATTAACCTCAACATGTTTTTGGACTGTGTGGGAGGATACCGGAGAACCCGGAAAGAACCCACACTGCACGGGGAGAACATGGAGACTCCACACAGAAAGATCCCGGCTGTCCTCACCGGGACATGAACCGGCGACCTTCGAGCTGCGAGGTGACGGTGCTAACCAGCGAGCCACCTTGCAGCCCAGGATTGAATCTGTCATCAGAACTAAAGGTAGACATATGAAGGAATGGAAAAACAAACAAACAAAAAAAAATGTTGGTTTGAATTCAGGGCTGCAAGGTGGTGCAGGTGGTTAGCACTGTTGCCTCGCAGCAAGAAGGTTGCCAGTTCGCGTCCCGGTGGGGGCACCGGAATCTTTCCGCGTGGAGTTTGCATGTTCTCCCCGTGCAGCGTGGGTTCTCTCCGGGTTCTCCGGCTTCCTCCCACACAGTCCAAAAACATGCTGAGGTTAATTGGTGATTCTAAATTGTCTGTAGGTGTGAATGTGAGTGTGCTTGGTTGTCTGTCTCTAAGTGTAGCCCTGTGATAGACTGGTGACCTGTCCAGGTGTCCCCTGCCTTCACCCTGAGTCAGCTGGGATAGACTCCAGCCCCCACGCGCCTAGTGAGGATTAAGCGGTGTATAGATAATGGATGGATGGATGGTTTGAATTCCTACTGTGGAGCCATAGCAAATGTATGAGACCACCTGTCTAATTTGTTAAGTACTGTAAATACTAAAGACCATCCAGCATCATTAACTGCTTTACTATTTTTTTGAATCTTCTGTAAAACAGTACATTTGAAAATTCATGGATAACAATAATAATTATATTTTAGCATTAAAAATCAGATTTTGGTTGAAGAGCGTCTACATAGTGGTGTATTACCAGAAACATAAAAGGTGATTTTGGTGAAGCTGTTCATTCAGGGCAGCTGTGGCATAAACCTCACACTGGGTGGTGGTCTAATACATTGGTTAAACACTGTAAGTCCAAACTGTTTTAATTGTACATAAAAGCTGCTGTTTAGCTTGGAAGTGATGTAATTAATTTACACAGTTTGGAGTGGGCTCATTCCTGCAGTGGTCAGTGCTGTCTGCGAGTAGATAAGCTATGAGTAACTTCAACGTCCTCTGGAGACAAGACAAGACCTCTAGCTCCTCAAAACAAACATGTGGCTAATGGCTAAACTATATACATCTGCCACAACAGCCCTTAGCTAACATGTCATCATGGACGACCTCGACCCGCTGGGACCGTCTCACACACACAGACGAAGCTTTTCAGGACACCCATAACAATAAAGTGTGTGCGTTACACCCGCTGTAATCGTTATCAGTCACCTTTACTGTCACAATAAACGCTTAAAAGCTTGGAAGCATTTTGCTCGTCAGGGTTTTCTGCAGCAAATACTACACATAACAATGATTCATCATAAAAAAATGTGCACCTTCAGACGTCAGAAACAGCAAGAAACGACCGTTTTGCTGGCTACGCACCGTTATTAAAAAGTAAAGAAAGAGCTTTTTGCGGTGAATACGGTGCCTTGAATCGGTTTGAATATGAGGCTTTTGGCCCGATATCTCTCACAACAAAGTGTTAACGGGTTCATGAAACACCGCATTTTTTCTCCACTAAACGTCCGATTGTGTGGCGTGTTAGTGGGTTAGCCGGTTAGCAAAGCGTCGTTAAATGCTATATATTCTTTCTAATAACACGGCCTTTGATTATTGATTATGAAGCTTCGTCGGTATGTTGCGGTGGAGCTGCTGAACCGGGCCGCCACAAAACTGTATAAACAGCAGCAATGATTTATTACTTTAACAGATTTGTTTGTTTTATTTTACATTATTTACCTTTTTCACCGAAAGTGACCGTTAGCCGCTCCGCTGCCTTTGAGTGGAGCAGCTACGGTTAGCGTCCCTCAAAAATCACGTCTTTTCATTAAATTACCGTTTTTTTCTCATAATTATTTTTCTTTGTTTGTTTGTTTTAACATGTCATTTGCAGGCTTAATCACTCACCCGTCCATGGATACCTTCGACTCGCCATGACGAGTCCTCTCGGTGGAATGAGCCGTCCTGTCCCGCAGCTGCTCATCCCAGCTTCACGCTTCAGCCTCCACCGCGAGCAGCCAATCAGCGGGGCCGCGCTCACAACATGTCCGCTCTGTGGTAACAGGATCCCCGACACATCCTCCCCCCCGAGGGCCGTCCCGCAGCAGCAGGACTCTCAGGACCCTTGTTTTGTCATTAACTCGATTTTTTGGGGGCCAGATAACATGGCGACCACTTGTTTAGTACAAACAAACAAAACAAACACTTCCTTTGCCCTTTAAAAGTATAAACAGTTGGACAGAAAGTTGTATTTTGGGTGGAATAACCCTTTAAAACCAGAACTTATTAGTCAGATTGTACTGTTTGTGTGAAATAAACCTTCAGAAGCATTAGTACTTGGAGAGAAATTTAGAATTTTGGGTGGAATAAACCTTTAAAACCACAACTTGTTAGCTAGAATGCACTATTTCAATGGAATAAACAGTCATAACTTTAAGTACTTTGACAAAAAGTGCTATTTTGGTGGAATAAAACTTTGAAAGTTTTGTTGAAATAAATCTTGAAAATCATGAATTGTTAGAAAGTATATAAGTTTGGTGGAATAAACGTTGAAAACTCTGAATCCTTGGACAGAAAATAATATTTCTTGTGGAATAAACCTTTGAAAGTTGAAGTAGTTGGACAGAAAGTAGTATTTTGAGTGGGACAACCCTTTAAAACCATAACTTGTTAGTCAGATTGTACTGCTTGTGTGAAATAAACCTTTCGAAGCATTAGTACTTGGACAGAAACAAGTACTTTTGGGTGGAACAAACCTTTAAAACCACAACTTGTTCGTTCGAATGTTCTATTTCAATAGAGCAAACATTCATAACAATAAGTATTTGGACAAAAAAATGCTGTTTTGGTGGAATAAGCTTTTGAAACTATAAATATTTAGACAGAAAGTCAGATTTTTGTTGAAATAAACCTTCCAAAATCATGAATTGTTAGAAAGTATATCACTTTGGTGGAATAAACTTTTAAAACTGTAAGTACATGGACAGAAAGTAGTTTTTTAAAAAAATGTGGAATAACCCTTTAAAACCATAACTTATTAGTCAGATCGTACAGTTTGCGTGAAATAAACCTTCAGAAGCATTAGTACTTGGAGAGAAATTTTGAATTTTGGGTGGAATAAACCTTTAAATCCACAACTTATTCAATGAATGCACTATGCCAATGGAATAAACATTCATAACTTGAAGTACTTGGACAAAAAGTGCTATTTTGGTGGAATAAAACTTTGAAACTTTTGTTGAAATAAATCTTGAAAATCATGAATTGTTAGTAAGTATATCAGTTTGGTGGAATAAACGTTTAAAACTATGAATACTTGGACAAAATATAGTATTTCATGTGGAATAAAGCTTTGAAACATTCATTTGGTGGAATACACGTTTAAAACTGTAAGAACCTGGACAGAAAGAAGTATTTTTTGGTGGAATAGACCTTCAAAACATACTGGATGGGATACACCTTTGAAACCATAATTCATTCAATAGAAAGTACTAAATGAGTGAAATAAACCTTTAAAACTCTGAATACTTGGACAGAAAATAGTACTTCATGTGGAATAAACCTTTAAAAGTTTAAGCAGTTGCACAGAAACTAGCATGGTGGGTGGGACACACATTTTAGACCATAACTTCTTCGTTAGAAAGTACAATGTAGACCTTTAAAACTAGAAAAACTTGGACTGAAAGTGGTATTTTGGCTGAAATAAACCTTTAAAACCACACCATGTTAGATAGAAAATGCTAATTTTCTGGAGTAAACCTTTAAAACTATCAGTTCTTGGACAGAACACATGGAATAAACCTGTGAGACCAGAAATGGTTCATGAGGAGGCAATATCTTGGGTGGAATAACTCATTACTTCGTACATACAAACTGAGTAGATTAAACCTTTGAATTTATAAATACTTGGACAGAGAGTAGGAATTTGGGTGAAATACACCTTTAAAACCACAACCTGTGCATTTTAGTGATCATCCAGTTTTGTAGTTGGCGCTGTCGTAATAAACAAGGGTCCTGGAGAGGTGGTCCTGAAACTGCAGCCTCGTCTGCTGCAGACAACACAACATCACAGTGTCCACGGCTCGTTAAAGTTAAAGTAAATTAGGCAACTGGGAAAAATACAAAACAGTAAAATACAGTCATTATATAAAATTTCCATTTTATTATTAAATAGAAACAAAAATAAAGGCTTAGGTTGGTTGTTTTTTAACAGCTTCATGCTTCTTCTGTGTATATTGTGTTGATTTTTTGCGCTGTAAACTCCAGCGATGCATCTTTTTACAATATGATACAGTGATCTCCAAAACAAAACTTAACTAGCAGTCAGCTACATTCATTTCCAATTCTGGCATTTTGTTTTTTAAAGAACATTTGGTAAGAGGTCACACTGATTACAAACTGAGATAAAAATGTAATATGATTAAGTCTTTATCAGACAAGGAGCTGAGCAGAACCTCCATGCGATCGTATCACTTCATGTGTAACCGGCATTGTGTCTCCTACTACTGCAGGGGTTGCTTCAGTTCAAACAGTCCTGTTCCTCCTTTCACTACCTTCCCCACCACCAGGCAGGCTGAGGGCGACACCAGCTGATCGTGTGACCCTGAAACGAAAAGCAGAATCGTCATTAGCAAAACCACAGAGGACAGCAGCGGCCTCGAGACTACGTGACTTTTAACTGAATGTGTAATTGTTTGGCGCCCTGGTGGGTCAACAGGTTGAGCAGCGAAGGGTTCGAATCTGGTCCACTTCCTCCACTCGTCTGCCGACTTTCCTGTCTTTCTCTCCACTTAATTGTCTAATAAAGCCGGAAGGCCAAAAAAAAAAATTCTCTCTCTATATATATATAAATGTACTTGTCCAAAAAACAACAAATACTACGGGGCAGCTACAATCCGTGTCCTGCCTTGTTTTTGGATTGCAAATGAGGTGTAAGGACGCATAAACGACCAGTAGTCTTTCTGTCTTTGCCTGTATAATCATCAAACCCGAATGAAAACCAAAAGTACGACCTTGTACTTATATGACTCACCGGATCAGTGAATTAGCTTTCCCACACTTATGTAACAGCATACAATAGAGGTGTATAAATCTCTCAAGAATCACATTACTTCTAAGCTACACAGTGGAGTGTTTCCTCTTAAGAACAGAACATTAGGAAATCAGAGTGAAGTTGACCTTTCTTTTTTTTCTTTTAAAGTCATTTTTTGGGCCTTTCGTGCCTTTATTCAATAGAACAGGGGAGAAGAATGGGGGAGGGCCCTGTAGCAAAGAGTCATGAGCCGGATTTGAACTCATTACCCTGCGTCGGGGACTTCAGCCCCTGTACATGGGACGCCAGCTCAACTATGTGAGCTATCGCGGCGCCCCGAAGTTGACCTTTCTGAATGTAGAAGGTCATATCTTGATCATTTTATCCAAAAGAAGAAACTGCCTCCATGAGACACCCTCCAAACACGATATGTCTGGCCATGGCGGAGGCGTATTGAGGCATAAAAACAAGACTCTAAAAAAGCCTTGATCAATAACTAATCTGTTGCAGGGCTTTCCTCGTTATTTTCTATGCATCATTATTGTTGTTATCATTATCCTCCTGTACTCACCCAGCATAGTAGCCTGTTTGAGGAATTTGTAGCTGGTCTCGAAGGTCATCTGCTGCAGAGGGGAGGAGTTTGATCCGATGGCGTGCCGGTTCAACGGCTTGTAAACACCTTCAAAACACATGTAGTCGGCCACCAGCGACAGATGTCTGGGGTCAACCTCGATACCTGGAGACAGAGAGAGAATCTTAGAAAATCTGAGTAGGTTTGAGAGCTCTGCGTTTTAACTGCACGCGTGTAAGTTTGTTCGCGTACCGTAGACGGCAAAGACATCTTTGATCTCCTTCTCGATGACCTTCAGAGCCACTTCGATCCCGTATGTTTTCGCCATCGCATGGACCTCGTTGGAGTACAGTCGGTTGATGTCCAAGATCTGGGGGAAGAAATACGGTCTCAGTGCTATTTAGTCATAAACAGCAACGTTAATGGTCAAAGCTGAATAAAATAAGTCCAACTGTCGCTCTGGATCTGTGGAAAACAAATGTGATAAAACTGTATGTAGTCACAGTTGGACGGTCACATTGTAAACAACACAGTGTATTTCTGTATCTAAAATCTAATCATAGATATTAAATTAAACCACTTAATGCTCAAATAATTTCCCAAAAGCCTCCATAATAGTATCTGGTAACATTTTCCAGATATTCACTCGAATTAATCATTAAAGTGTTTTTTAGTAATTATAACCAGACTGCATTGGAGATGTCTTGACTAGTTCACATGATAGACAACGAACTAAACAGTAGATCCCTGCACTCTCGATCAGAGCAATGAAAATGGAATAAGAGAAATCTTGTACACAAAGGTGTCCATCATATTTTCACTGCTTGTTAATTTCTTAGTAAGTTAATACGGCTACACTCTCCTACCTGGAGCTTTAAGTACCCAACATAAACATTGTTATCTGGAGTCAAACAAGAAAATAACAACTCCATATAATTAAAATGCACAAAGACAATTCATCCAGTAAGATGCACATTGTCGCACTTCAGAGATGAACACAAAGTGACACTACTGCAAGACACCAAGTTCCAATTTGATGGTAATTGGCAGCTCCGAGTGTCAGTGGGTGAATGACAAACATGTCGCACAGCACTTTGCAGAACCCGGCTAAGATTAAAAAGCAGCATAAAACTTCCCGTGTTCTAAGTGACACTGTATACATACGTCGCTGTATTTGAATATTTCGTGCATGTTGATGCCCTCCGTGTTGAGAACCGTCTCCTTTTCTCCGGTCTTGGTCGTGGTTTCGCTCAGCAGGCAGCGTGTCAGACCCCTGGTTTCCATGATGACTGCATTCTGGGCCAGTGTCGACAGGACTGAGGCCAGGTCGAAGTGAATCTTGCTCACCGGCAACGCCAGGTCAACCTACGGAGTGGGAGACAAGAGGAGGGCTGCTGAATCAACGCCAACACTCCTTTATGTTGCAGTCGTGTGAAGCTCCTGTGCTCTAACCCGTCGTGTTCACTGATGGTTAATGCCTTCTACCTGTAGAGCCAACTTTGTGTATATAGGACCAGCTTTTTACGGCTACAGCTGCCGTTTCTTGCTGGGTTACGTGTCAGATGTTCACGAGAGGCCGCAAAATCCAAGGTTGGATTCCAAGCAACCTCCACTGCGTGTGATACCAGCTTATCGTTCCTCTCATGTTTCCTCTCTGCCCACTCAACTACCCAATAAAGGCAATGATGCAACAAAAATCCAAGCGCCTACAGAGAAACTCTCTCACATCAGTCAAACAAATAGCAGCAGGAGGAGGAAGAAGGGGACTTTTGAAGTTGCTACAGTCAAGCTACCAGACTCCAGACAGAAGGTTGGAGGATGAGAAAAACGTGTCCGCAGCTGCATTGATGAAGGGATGTGGTTGACACACTAAGAAGGTGAGAAAAAGTTAAGGCAAGAATGTGAGTCATAACAAACTGAAAAGGAGAGTACATGTGACTCGACAATCCCACACTAAATGTATAACATTCTTTTATGTCGGATTGTCAAGACGGAGGTCGAGATACAAGGAGGGCTTGATGCTTGAAGGCTCATTTGTTGTTAATATTTATTGTTCATAGATGTTATAATAGCTGGTAGGGCAGGTCCGTATAGCACTTTCTGGTCTCTGGGTATTCAGGCCCAACTAATGATGAATATCCCACGGTCAGGGGGACACTTCCACCCCGGGGCAGTGCTCCGACAGAGTGGAAGTGGCCGGAACGCACAGGCAGTACTTGGCTGCTGATGCCAGTTTAGAACAGCGGTCACACTTTTTTCCCCACTATTGGTGGCGGCGGCATCTGTGTTTGCTTCCATAAACACTGAGCATGCTCGCTGCGTGTGACGCCATCATGTCCTCTTCTGCGCATTTGGGTCGTATGAAGTTCACACAGCAGATCACATACAAGTCGCATTTAACTGGAAATGTGAACGAACTCGCAAAAAAATCAGATATCACAAAAAAAAATCTGAATTGAGCATCAAGTCCTGCAGTGTGAACGTAGCCAATCTGTGGGATTGTTCAGTCAGATAATACGCCATTGTCCTGATTGGTGACATAAAATGTCACGTTGGAGTCAGAATCCAAGGCTGTCAGTATGTTAAGGCTACTTTCTATGGGTTCTGTTCGTTTTTCCTAAAAACCCATTGGATAGCAAGGTTTTCGGATTGTTAAGGGTCGGATTGTTAAGGGTCGGATTATCAAGTCACGACTGTACATTCAGAATGGGAAAACTGCATAAAGCAGTTACGCAAATAAATGACTATGCTGACATGATCTGGGACTTCCAAACCGGTATTTGTTGGCAAGTAGCCTGGGTGTGAAAAAGTGGTGACCTCTCAACTTGGACTTTCCTCCTTGGTATAGATTGACTCACGTCTAAAGTCAGACTATATGGTTGGAATTGTGTCATAAGACACAAGTCATTCATTATTTGCAATCCTTTTTTTAAGGGAGCTAAGACTTGCAAAGAAGCAGCAGGGCCTCTGAACAAGAACAAAACACGCCCTGTCCTGTGTTCATATTTAAACCCCACTGCTCATTCTCTGCTCAACGTGTCAGTGGTGGAGCTCTGTGACAGGGTTAAAAAAAAGCACCGAGTATTTTTAAATGAACTCTTTCAGAACTGATAGTAGTTTACAGCTGCAAGTAAAAAAAAAAAAAAAAAGCTCTAACCTGAGAAGGAACTCACCTCACACCAGAGCTCATGCTGGCAGTCGTAGCAGTAGCTCTCTATGGCAGAGTTGGACGTCAGAACAGAGTTCACTCTCATCTGATCCAGAGTCTCCCGTCCTGCGTCTGTTTTCCCTTTCTTACTCTTCCTTTCATCTCTCACTCCTGCAGACTCTGGCTGAGGCTCCTCCACAGCGTTCGTCTCCGAGTTCTCCTCCGCCTTCTCCTCCATCTGCTCTTCATCATCCACCTCATCGTCGTTGCCTTCGTCCTCGTCCTGACTTTCGTAGTCGACCTGCAGAGGAGAGCGAGTGAGAGTCCATCAGGCTTCTTGGTGTCAGCGGTTAACAGTACGAGGACTTCGATGTGGGATCTAACAAGGTAACCGTCGGGGCACCATTACTTATTTTTATAAGTCATCCAGACGGTCAATAAACACACACTGACTCTGCAAACCCACTGAACGTATCTGTACAATATATATATATATATATACGACTATCATCTACAACATGGCACTTGAACTTGTGACACTATTTCTACCTACATTGCTTCTGTGTTGTTTTATGCTTTTTTGTTTTTCTTTTACGTTGCATGACTTTTGTGATTGTGTTGAAGGATTTATTTTGATTGATGAGGATGTTTTATGATGTTGCAATATCGCTGTAATATAAACACAATAACACTAAATGCATCTTATCTTTTATGCAAACAATGACACATGAATCCACTTCTTTCCTTCTGCATGGAAAGAGGTACTGAAAAGTGTTCAGAATAGCAAAAGCTGCAAACACTGAAGACAAACCTTATCATGTCCCATCTGCATTACATTATTGACTTTGCTTCAAGATGACTAATCCTGTTTTATTTTTAGCACCATAAATAATTGACAGGATTATTTCACAAGAATCACACCGCATCGCAAAGGTCAATACAGACGGGGTGCCTTTGCTTAGATTAAAACCAGTCCAACCTCATACAGAGACAATGCCGCAAAAACAACACTGAAATATTTGCCTGACAGGTTAATTAACAACCAAACAGTAGTTTAAAAATGGAAAAGGGACACAAAACAGTGCAAAGGAAAGTCGTAACATCCGTCAGTACAGACTCAGGAGACCACTACGATCCACTACGGTAAAGAAATCCCCTTCATGCAAGTCTTGATTCATGTTCTGCTTGAGCGCAGCACGTGAACACCAAATCCTGGGCTTAAAGCCAACTAAAGCATAGTTGGACTTAAGGCAGATTAAGGGCAAACGCTGTTTCATGGTGGTCTGATACAAGGTGCATTCAAAAAGTTGCAAGACTTCCTGTGATGCACATGATGAGACCACGGTGTGCAGGGAGCAGAGATGAAAAACTGTAGGAGGAGAGTAAAGTTATTTCAGTCACCTGCAACGACCATGGATAAGCCGTATAGTTACTTATGCCGCATTTACAGGTCGCAAAACGGTGATATTTCAATGCATCTGGGCCGTTGGTTTACACGTAAACGAAGCTACGAGTCACCGAAAATGATCACATCTGAAAACTGGCCAAAGTGGAGATTTGGAAAAACTCCGTCTTTACGTTTGCGTGTAGAGGAGACGGAGTTTGACGTCACAGGATGCCACAAAAGCAGCATCAGCGTCGTGTGTGCGACCATGTTTACAGTTTGGCTACTGTCATAATCATTACAAATGGATGCTGTTGAAGCAGTGCTTATTTTTCCATTTATGCAAACGCTTTTGGCCTATTTGCATTTACATTCAGCAATGGTATATTATGTGGAGGAACTTCTCTGTCGGCCCAAACAAACGACTCGTGCCATTATCGTTGAAGTAATAGCAAATAATGGCTTTATGCTTCTCGCTACACTGCCCCCTATAGGTTTGGCAGATCAAAGCAGCTCTTAACGACGTGTTTCTGCGGGTTTGTGCAAACGAGGATCTTTCTAAAAACGATCTGGTGTGAACGACGTTATTTTTGAAAACGTAGATCCGTTTTTGAAAATACCCGGCTACGTGTCAATGTGGCCTTAAAGTCTGTGTGTGTTTTGTTTGCCATCACAGAAAAAGATTAATGCGGTCATGTTTGAGTCATGTTACCATGGCGACCTCCTGCATTCTTCACAGCAGTCTGAATCACGATTAACCACAGATAGGAACAGAAACGCAAACGCTGAGGTATGCAGGTCGTTATAACTGTAGGTAGCAGCGGTGGACTGCGCTCGCTTTCATGATTTCCTGAATATTTCTGGGGTTTACTTTGGCTACCTCAGCGTCTTTTATTAATAAGACAAATGCACCAGTAGATAGAAAGACATGTAGGCATTCAGCTCGCATGATAACGGCACGCGGATAGCAGCAGATTTACATTAATACACTATTAAACTAATAAGCTAGCACATGTCAATATTTGTCAATGATTCCTTTGCACCAGCTCCAAGTTAGAAGCAGGCCTTGATTACACAAATATTCAGGCCAGATTACATTGATGCCAGACTAAAATAGCTGTGCAAAAAGTTTCCCCTGAATCCAGATGAATGTTCAGACATGTCCAAAGCCAAGTTAGGTTTAAGGTTCTCTACTGAAGAGGACTGGGGAAGGAACAGCTTCAACCACATGAAGTAATCTAATCCATCTTTATACCTCCTCCTCCTGTTTGCCTCTTCTCTTGGCATCTGAAGCGTCAGCGTCTCCCTCGTTGCCCTGATCATCAACGATCTCTCTCTCCTCCTCTCCCTCCCCATCGTCCAACTGAAGAGAGTAAAGAAAAAGACAAGAAAGATTTTAGTGTGTTCGAGGAGGGAAAAGAGAAGCGACACTGTGAACCCTGACGAACAAATTAAAAACAGACCCCTGCTGTGTCCGCCGCCCCCTCGCCGTCCACGTCCTTGTCTCTGGGGGTGGCCTTCCTCGTCTCCACGGCGATGGAGGCCAGCTTGGCGGAGCGCTTCTTAATGGCTTCGAGGAGGAGACGGAAAAACCTTGGAGGATAAACAGAGAAGATGAGAGGTGAATATCAGGTTACTTCCTAATGATTGCTGACACGGGAGGAACTCACACACACACACACACACACACACACCTTGTTTCCATGTAGCGGAGGATCTGGTGAGGCGATAACAGTTTATCCTCGCTGTAACGCTCAGCTGGCAGGAAGTGGAAGGTGACTTTAAACGTCCGCAGCTTGTGGTGATTTTCAATCCGCAGTTTCTCCACAACATCCACCTTCTGCAGCACCTGCACACACACACACACACACACACACACACACACACACAGAAGATAAAACCTCATTAATCCTGTGAGAAATTATTTGACCAAATTACTCAACATGTACGACACGTTGCTGAAAACAAAAACAAGCTTAAACAAGACTAGAATAAAAAAAAGTAATACTTTTTAAGGATTCTGAGGCAGTCAAGTAATATCACGTATATTAATGAAATATTGAACATGATACTGGAGTATTCACATTAAAACATCCATCATCTATACACCGCTTAATCCTCACTAGGGTCATGGGGGGCTGGAGTCTATGCCAGCTGACTTAGTGTGAAGGCAGGGGACACCTTGGACAGGTCACCAGTCTATCTACAATTTCATTTTGCAGACATTTTTATCCAAAGCGACACACAAGTAAGGATCTAGTCAGGAGAGAACAATCTAGATAAATGCCATAGAACAAGTTCAAGTGTGATAGGGCGTTGGTACCAATAGCAGGCTGTGTGGGAGGGAATAGGATTTTCTTTTTTGTTTATTTGTTCTCAGGCAGTCAAGCGCAAAGGTGTTCAGTGAAGAACTGGTCTTCAGTATTTTCTTAAAGACTGAGAGGGAGTCAGCAGATTGAACAGAGTTTGGTAACTGGTTCCACCAGCGGGGAACCACAGAAGAGAAGAGTCTAGCTATCGACCTCGGGCCCTGTTGTGGCGGTTGCATCAGGCGGTTTTTGTTGGTCGAGCGTAGTGAGCAGAGGGAGTGTCGATCTGAATGACAGCGTTCAGGTAGGAGGGAGCTGTTCTCGGTGTGGTTTTGTAAGCAAGTGTCAGGGTTTTGAATTTGATGCGGGCAGCAACTGGAAGCCAGTGAAGCGATCTGAACAGTGGGGTGACGTGTGTTGCTTTTGTCTATCACAGGGCTGCACTTGGAGACAAACACTCACATTCACACCTACGGACAATTTAGAATCACCAATTAACCTCAACATGTTTTTGGACTGTGTGGGAGGAAGCCGGAGAACCGGGGGAGAACCCACGCTGCATGGAGAGAACACGGAGACTCCACACAGGAAGATCGCGGGTGTCCTCACCGGGATGCAAACCGGCGACCTTCTAGCTGTGAGGCAACGATGCTAACCACTGAGCCACCTTGCAGCCCCACATATATAGAAATATCGCATCCAAAAAAGTAAAACATTACACATTACACTGACATGTTGTACATAAAACTTTGCATGAGAAAATGAAAGATGACACGTGATTCTGAAACTGACGTTGCACAGCAGCAGTGAGGTCTAGAGGTCAGTTTTTCTAAGTACACCAACATTTTTAAAGCACGTGACTCACAGTCACAGTCACAGTGAGATGTAAACGAGGAAATGAAATTATTTTCTTTTTAAAAAGAGGGAAGAGAAGAGCAAGAAGTGGCACCATTAAACAAGAAAATGAGAAGCAACAGAGAGTGTTCTCACCTCAGCCAGACACACTCTGGTCAGCTTCTTGCGCAGCGTCTTGGCTCTCTTCAATGCCTTCCTGTTGTTCAGCACCGGAACGCTCATCATGGGGGTTTTGATGTTGGAGCTGGCCACCATCAGGATCTCTCTCAGTCTGTGGGGTGGACAGATGTTGGATCATGATGTGTGATGGATGAAGCAGAGCAGAGGACCAAAGTGAGAAGACGTGGTGGTGATGTAGGAAGGAACACTACAGTTACAGAGCACTGGGCAGGACACACTGGGCTGTACTCACACACTCTCACGCCACAAAGTCTGCTTCTCGGTTATTTATTATATTTATATACTATTTGTCACTCTTAGCTGATTACTTCTACTTCTTCGTCTTCTTTTCCTTCTTATATTTCTTCTTCTTCTATGAAGTGTTTCAGAAAGTTACAGGACTGGTGTCACAAAAGATAGATTTCAAACTACAAACTACGAGTTTTCCCCTTCAGTTGATCAACCAGCACGTCTACAGAGAGATCCTGTGGCGTTTGCTTCGTTCAGTGTGCGAGAAGAGGCGAGAGTCGTGGCTGCTTCACCATGACAACCTGCTCACAACGCCCTGAGCATCCCACAGTTCCTGGCTGAGAAGAACATCTCCGTGCTGGAGCAACCTCCCTACTCACCCCACCTGGCTCCGTGGGATCTGTTCCTCTTCCCCAAGCTCAAGGGGGTCATCAAGGGGACCCGCTTCGAAGACGTGGACCACATTGGAAGTGTGTTAGACTCCAGGGGGATTACTTGGAAGGGGAAAACTCGTAATTTGGATTTGAAGTATATCTTTTGTGACACCAGTCCTGGAGCTTTTCTGACACACCTCGTATGTCTTCTATTAATCCTCCTATTTCTTCTACTCTTCCTAGTACTCATACTACTAACACTACTACGACTTCACAGGTTGAAATACTACAATGTACACGGGTAAAATAAAACAGGCATAAATAAATAAACTTGTTAAAAGCGGTTCCTCCAGGAGATTTCTAACAAGTTTCTCAGCCATAAAGGTTCCTCCAGGGGGGATGTTCCTGAGAGTGACTCGATGCTCTCCTGATGCTGAGAGCGTGGACGCTGGTTTGTGAGGAGAATATTTTGACATCACACGGCGGTATCGTTTCAGTATCGAGTATTGACGTACCGATGTTAGAGATTCAGTATTATTTGAAAGCTTTTTAACAAGATGTTGAGGCAAGGTTTTTAAAAAAAAATATTATTATTATTATTTATTTACCGGACTAAAAAACAAACAAACTCAAAAGTCTGTACTGTGTCTACAAATGTCTGGTTGCGTCAAATATCTCACAGCTAATGTGAAATACAATCTCACCTGCAGCTGCAGCCAACAGACAAGACAAAGATAGAAAGCAATTAAACCTGCAGCAGCGTGTCCACCTGCTGCACACAGAAGTGGTTTTAAGGATCTTCTATTTGTTCATAAAGCCACACAGGGGTTTGGAAATCCCCCTACTCGCCCGCTCCTATTCACAGGTTTGAACTGTGCCATAATTGAGGTTGGTGGGTGTGAGACCAAATGTGGGTTTGTGGTCGCAGCTCGAAGGCTTGAGGGGGGAAAAAAAGTTTCAAATGTTCCTCTTCCAGAAAAATCTGCATTTTGGAACTCAACCTTACAGTTTATATACATATATATAAAATTCACATCTACATTATACGTACTAAGTTGGCTAAAAGGTAGAAAAACGTTGACATTACTAACAATAAGTGAAGACCCTTAAGATTTCTTTGTACAAGCCCCCTGCAGGCCCTGGCTGATACCTCGATATGCACATAAAAAGGCAGAGCTTGGTGAGTCTTTACCGAGGGATTCCCAGAGTCACGTTCATCTCTCCTCTGCCGGCGAAGTGGAAGGTGTTGAGGGTCATCTGGGTGGAGGGCTCCCCGATGGACTGAGCTGCCAGCAGGCCCACGGCTTCACCCGGATCACACAGAGAACGCTGCCACTTGTAGTGCAGCAGCTGGCGGAGACTGACAACGCGCACAGATATAAAAAGAACGGTTATCTTACATCATACAAAGACTGAACAGAGTAAATGTCAGATCTGGGAGAAGATAAGTTCATTTATTAATTTTAGGTCTGTTTCCTTCAGGACTGATCACTGCTGTAGTTTAATTAATGAAGTGATGTAACTGTGCTGGTTACAGTCGGGGGTGTTTACATGATCCGGTCCATCCACCAACAATAATATATTCATGTTACTACTACTGCTGCTGGCTGTAGTACTACTAATACTGATAATAATGATGCTGCTACTACAACTGAAAAAACTCCTACTACTGCTAATAAAACTACCACTAATAAAAAAGTACTAGTACTACTACTGCTGCTGCTATTACTACTAATACA